TGCAAATGGAAATTACAATAGCAGCACCTAATTTGCAGAGCCACCAGGAGGATAAATAAGATCATGCAGGCGTCCAGAAGTGGGGAGTTTCCCCGGTGGGGTTCGGAGAGATGGGAGAACAGCACTAGGGTCTGCCACACCCCGCCGTAGCCTAGTTCACAGAGGGGCTGAATTTGCTGCACCTCAGAAGGACATTGGAAGCCCATGAGAGGGCTCGTGGAAGCCCAGCGGCAGAGAGGGGCCTCCCGGGCTCTGCTCCAAGAATCCTCACCATGAGGAAGGTGGAGTGAGTCACTAGAGATGAGCTTCTTCGTTAAAATGGTAAAATCTATTGCTTCCTGGAGGAGGAGTCCAGGTGTTGGGAAGCAAAAAAACAAAAAAAAACAATGTTTTGGTAGCACAAAGTGTATTCTGTGGCATTACATAACATTTTATTCAATGAAAAGTAAATTATTTTCTTTGTAAAAATCGTAGTTGCTCAGGGCCTTTGCACTTGCTACTTGGAACATTCCTCCTCCAGGTGTCTGCCCGGCTTGGTCTCCCACCTCCTTCACGTCTCTCCTCAAACATATCTTCTCACCGAGGCTTTCACTGGCCACCTCTTTAAAATTGCACTGACACCCCCCAGTGGCTGGTGTCCTTGGCAGTCACCCTGCTCACGTTCCGGCTTTCTGTCCGAGCCCCCCAACAGCTGTTACCCTATTGTGTATAGTTTACTTTTTTGTTTTGAATCTGCCTCCGCCCCAGGGAATATGACCTTCACTAGGGCAAGAATTTTGCAGCTGCGTTGTTTATCACCATATCCTCAGTGCCAAGGGTAGTACCTGGTTCATACTAGATGCTCAATAAACAGACGAGTTCACTAGACAGCTGGTAATGATGCAGCTTTTTAGCCAAACCCACAAATTCAAAGTTGGATGTTCATCAGCGTGAGAAGACTCTGCCTCCATTTCCTGATGTGTGACTGTGGACAGCTTTCAACCCCACCCTCCCCACTCCTCTTTTGTCCTGTATCTTGGCCAGATGATAATAAAAAGGCAGGTGCTGCATCCTTTGGAGCTGGGGGGAAGTTGGAATCACAACTCTGCCCACCGCCCACTACAGCGCCCCAGACAGCTGCCCTCCCCACTCACTTGAGCCATTTAAAACCTGCCTGAGAGTCTTCCGTGTGTCCCCAGAAAACCTTGTCATGTGAGTTGGGGCCCCTCATACCCTGTGGGTGCATGCACAGTGTCTGTGTTGACCTCTGGACCAATCACAGACTGAATATCTATCCCCCCTCCCCTGATTCCAGGGATTGAACCCAAGGGTGGTTGACCACTGAGCCACATCCCCAGCCCTTTTTAAATATTTCATTTAAAGACAGGGTCTCCCTGAGTTGCTTAGGGCCTCACTAAATTGCTGAGGCTGGCTTTGAACTCGCGATCCTCCTGCCCCAGCCTCCTGAGCTGCGGGGATGACAGCCAGGCGCCACCTGCTTGGCTTACTTCCGGTCTCTGAGAAGCAGCTCACAAGGAGAACCCCATCCACCCCGCCTCCCAGCTTCTCTCTGCATTTGCTACTGTTTGCCTTGGGTGGAGAAGGTCTTCCTTTGTGAAATGGAGAGGTTACACATGGTAACAGTTCTGTCTTTACCAAGTTCCTTCGCATCCTCCAGACACTCACTGATTCATGGATTCTAGAGCCTGAAAGCAACACAGAAGCAAGCTCCTGTTTCACACTGAATTCCACAACACAGCAACCGCTGGCCTCCCTGAACCTAAAAGTCAAACAAAGCACCTACAACCGGCAATTAGGGGCTAAATCTGTCTCTAAATACAGGATCACGCTGCTGTCAGAGGCTGCCCGTTCATTTAACTTACGCACAATTTTATACAAGAGAAAACCGAGAGATCATTTTGCTGTGACAAGAACCTGAGCCAATCCTTGCCTGAAACTGACTGGCGGAGATGGACAGGTGACACGTAGCACAGACGTCCAGAAAATTCTACGTGAGCTGAGAAGCAGGGTCTGAACTCAGCAAAAGATCAGCAGCGACCTCCCGGTGACACTGTGAAGAAGCTCAAATGCTGCGTTTTATGGAATTTAAGCCACCATCGACTCAAAGTCACGCCATTAAACACACAATGGTACCAGTGAAATTCAGTTGGTGCTCTTCGCGCTTAGAGGCTGTATTTTGGAAGCATATCTTGTCTCGTGCTTTAAAAAAAAGGAGGGGGGGTGCTCTTTCATTTGCCTTGACAATTTTCTTATATATGACTCTTGTGATCACAGAAAAACAAACCTATAGGTGGAACGCATTGGATAAGGAATTCCTCAAACTTCTTCCCATGCAAAACCCAGCCCCGCTGCACACTCTTGAGCTCAGAGTCAACAAGGGACCTTGCAACAATGTATTCAGAGAATGCTGGGCCTGGGGGCAGAGCTCCCCAGCAGAGATCTGGCTGAGCTTATGCAAGGTGCTGGGTTGGATCCCCAGCACTGTGAGAAGAAAAAGGCGGGGGATGTCACTCCACGACTGTCCCTAGGTTTTTTATCTCAGCCTCTGACCCCCCCACTCTGAAAGTTTTTCCATTTTGCAAGCCAATGTCAAGGTCTTCCAGACCCTCCGACTTATGGTCCTATGCTTTGTTGGCTACCATCTCAAGGACTGAGTTGTGCAGACAGGGTACCAGGAGGAACAAGTGAGTTGGGACACACAGAGGTGACCACAGCAAAGATGGCGGCAGCAATTGTAAAAAGGTGATTGGAAGACAGGGGCTCATCTGAGAGAGGTGCGTGGCCGAAGCAGAGAGTAAGGTAACTGCAGTCGTAATGACAGAGACGCCAGTTCAGGAAGAATTGATTATGGAACCTCACAGGATGTTGGGGTGTCGTTACTAGCTTAGAAAGCTGTCGGCAAAAGCTCCATCAGATGTTGGCGGCTTCCTGGCAGCCCCCAAATCCAGGCTCACTTAAGAAATGAAGGCTGTAACCTCGCCATTCCCCTGCTCTCCCGGGCTCCAGCTTCTTAAAGACATTTGTGATTGGCTTAACTCACTTAGCATGATATTCTCAACTCCACCCATGTACTGGCAAATACCGTAATTTCATTCTTCTTTAAGGCTGAGTAGTATTCCATTGTGTATATATATATATATATACCACAGTTTCTTTATCCATTCACCCATTGAAGGGCACCTAGATTGGTTCCATGGTTTAGCTATTGTGAATTGAGCTGCTATAAACTGATGTGTCTGCGTCCCTGTAGCGTGCTCATGTTAAGTCCTTTGGGTATAGACTGAGGAGAGGGATAGCTGGGTCAAAGGAGTTGGAGACTGGCATGCTAAGCGAAATAAGCCAATCCTAAAAAACCAAAGGTCGGATGTTTTCTCTGAGATGCAGATGCTAATTCACAGTAAGGGGGGCACTAGGGAAGAGTAGGGTTACCTTAGATTAGGTAGTGGGGAGTGAAGGGAGTGGACATGGGGATAGGAAGGATAGTAGAATGAAACAGGCATTATGACCCTATGTATATATATGACAGCAGGACTGATGTGACTCTACAGCATGTACCATCAGAAAACGGAGAAGTGATACCCCATCTTTGTATGATATATCAAATTGCATAAATGCATTCTACTATCAAGAATAAGTAATTAAAACAAATTTTAAAAAATTATAAAAGAAGAAAAGAAAGGTATTGGTGGTTCCCTGACCAGGCTATCTAAAGATCTACCTCTTGGCCTTTAGCCCTCCTGATCTGTTCACTGGTGTGACATTTTCTTGGTGGCACTCCTACTTAGCCCAAATGTCACCTTCTCCAGGAAGCCTCCCGTGATTTCCCTGGGTTCCTCTAGCCCTGAGGTAATTCAGGTGTAGAGTGTACCTCTGGGGTGTTCTTTCTCCATTATACGGGGAACTCTCTGGGGACCAATGCCTTATTCCTTTGGGCAGTCCCAGCCCCCTGCACTGGTACCTGGAATTGATGTTCAGCCAAGACCAGCCAGAGAAATGAATGAGTGAGAAGTCAGCGCTCAGCTACCACCTGTACACTATGATTGGAAAATGCCGGCAGAGCATCCATGCTGGCTCCCAGCCTCTCCCCCGTGGTCATTTACAGGAGCCCCCTGCTAAGGAAATGCCCCTAGGAACACCCCAACTCCTCCTAGCAATAAGCAGGGGTCAGTTAATCAGAGTCCGGCTGTGACAGCCGACTGAGAACTTCCCCATCAAAACTGAGCGCAGAGAGAGACTCGGAGGGAGGACGAGGCTGCTCTGAAAGAAGGAAAGAAAATATCCCTGTCTCTGGGGAGGAAGTTTCCACCCACCCAGTTTCCAATTTGCCTGAATTAGCTGTCCCCCACCTCAGGACTGTCATCATTGACGGCCCAGGTCTCTCTCCCCCACTGGCCATGAACTCCAGACACCCCGTGTATCTTAAACGGTCAGCTCAGCGTCTAGCACACATCGGTTGTTTATTAGGAATTTGGAAGACAACAAATGAAACTGAATTTTAGAACAAACATTTATATCTAGGAAATATGATGGTGACTTTTGGGTTTTGGTTCCCCTCCCCTCCCCCTACCCCAGTGCTAGGAATCAACCCAGGCCCTCAGGCACACTAGGCAAGCGCTCCGTCACGCAGATCAGATACATCCCCTTAGCTACAGGTTCTCACTGAGTTGCCGAGGCTGGCCTCCAACTTGTCATCCTCCTGCCTCAGCCTCCTGAGTTGCTGGGATGGCAGGTGTGCCCTCTGCCGGTGGCCATCACAGAAAAGCCCCTCTTCACCCTCTCCCATGCACCATGATGTCTAATCCTGTGGCCTGCAGATGGTCACACTGATTTCATGGCACCTAGCAGGGTGCCTGGCACACAGTAGCCACTCCATATCTGAATTGCAGATATTCAGCTTCTCTCCTCCTCTCCATCTCTCTCTCTCTCCCCCTCTCTCCATCTGTCTGTCTGTGTCTGTTTCTCTCTTTCTGCCTCCGTCTCTCCCACCCGGGTCTCTGCAGCTCCCTGATCCAGGCGGTGAAGATGGGCCGCGGCTACTTCACCATTCTGAGGGAGGAGAGCAACTTGAAGAAGGAGCAGCTGCAACTCCAGAAGCTGGAGGAAGAAGAGAGAAATAAATTCCAGCCGGCCAAGAAGGTCTCCGAGATCCAGTTAGGGGACTCGTTGTTGGTGTAAGTGGACAGGGAGCTGAGGGGCTGATAGGGGCCCTCCCCTGGGTGGCGCCATCCAGCCTTCTGGTCTACCGAGGAATATCTCCTCCCACAAACGCCTGCCCCATGAAACAGGAATCCCTGGCCCTACTCTAGCCATGCAGATGAGACTTAGAGGTGTCAATCATTTCCCCAAGGCCATCAGTTAGAAAGCAGCCTGATGCCCACACTCCGTGGCACCCAAATCCACGGGCTGCACCAACTGTCCTGGACAAAATTCTGAGACACTGAGCTTGTGTGGGCCCAAGGAAATCTACAGCAGGGACAGGGCAGAGGTGCCAGAGTGGGCAGAGAGGAAACACGCCCTAGAGATGGCCTGTGGCTGCGTCCAGTACCCCATGGCCACAGCCGTCCCAACCCTGGCTACCTACTAGACTACCCGGAGGGGTCTGCAAGATACCAATGCCCAGGGTACCTTCCGGGCCGGTTACACGGTATGCTTCTCTTGTTTTTAAAATAAAGTTTAAAAGGTCTATTTTAAAGTTCTCCTACTTTTTAAAGTTCCCTTGGGAAATGCCAATGGGGAGCCATGGTTGAGCTCCATTGTGCCAGGGGCCACCTTCAGGAATCCAAAAGGCCAGGGCATTAGCTCAAGAGGACACGGGAGCAGACACCCCCTTTGCAAAAATTCTGTTTTCCAGACAGTTAAAGAAATAGGAATGTGCACTTCCTAAAAACTTTTCAGCAGAATCCTATGTGAGCTCTGTCTGGCTTCTTCTGCTTAAGACAGTGGGTTTGAGGTTCGTCCTAGACAGAAATCAGGGTGGTTGGTGGCAGCAGACAGAGAGGCTCAGAGACTGCTTACTAGATACGGGGTCTCCTTTGGTGGCCATGAAAAAGGTTGGGGACTAGATAGAGACAGTGGTTCCTCGATGCCGTGAATGCGTGTGATAAATGCGACAGAAACCAAGCATGGCTCCAAGTTCTCCAGCTTTGCTCCAAACATCTCTACTTCACGGTCAGCTGTCTGCCACTTTTAAGTTTTTTTTTTTTTTTTTCTATTTTGTCCAGCAATTTTGTTTTGTTTTTGTCTAAATAGGCTAGCCTGACATTTGTGCCTTCATTTATTGACTCATGTATTTTTTCTAAGACAGAAAAACTATGTCTGGCTGACAATCCCTCATCTGTGCCTCTTAAGGAGTGGCCACCCCAGGAAGGAAGCTCTGTCACTTGAGCAGGGGGCATCTGGATGAATCTGATACGTTCAATACACAGGAAGAGCAAATCGATTCAACCGGGAGGGAGACATCCAGAAGACGGGCCAGGGGTGTAGCCCACCAAGACAAGAAAGAAGAGGGAGGAAACAGACATATCTAAGATGTGCAGGAGGGTTTGCCTCAAGGTGTGAAATTCGAACCCATTTCCATGTCCCTCGGGGATCTTTAGTCATACGGTTCCCTTGGTGAATCCAATTGTGGAGCAGGTTCAAAGTCAGTTTGGAGCAGGCAAGAGAGGCTGTCTGGACGCAGATCTACCCTCATTGCACAATCAACCACTGCGTGTTGAAAGACCATTGTGTGCACAAGCCCTCTGGGGGCACATGGAGGTACCCAGAGCATTAAGAGCGCCCCTACTCCACCCTCAACCACAGCGAAGTGCCACGGGGGGACGTGCCAAAGTGCCTCAAGTACACCCAGCCCCTCAAGTAGAGGACGTAAAAAGGAAATCTAGAGGGAAAAAAAAATCCCAGGAGGCCCTTCCATACTGGACAGAAGCTTGCTGAGTGACACAAAGCACAATCAGAAGCTCCATCAATGTCCCCGCAAGCCCACCAGACGGCCCTGGAGCCAGCACATCTGCATGGGATGGTCCAGGTTGGAGAAGGGGGGGTGCAACTGTGTTACCTTTTCAAAAAATATCTGTTTAATTTTTCGATTGACATCTAATAATCTACATGCGTGTGGGGCACAGGGTAACATCTCCATGCACAACGAGCGCCACTTGCAAGGGTCAGGGCGACCGGCATACGCATCCCTTCAAACATGGATCATTTCTTTGTGTCGGGAAACATTCAAAACTCGCTTTAGCTCGGCTCAGATGGACAAGTAACTGCTGTCAACCACAGTTACCCCACCGTGCAAAAGAATTAGAGATGATTCCTGTCTAACTGCACCCCGTACACCCAACGGTGTCTTGTGCCAGGCGTTAGAAAGGTGACATGCAAAGCCAGAACCATTCCAGTGTCCTCGTCAGACCCTGAAGGGGTGTGTGGTGCAGAGAAGGCCACTCCATGAGCCCAGAGCTTCCCATTTTCTCCAGAGGGGTCCCTAGAGCTCAGCAGACATGCTGCCCTCCAGCCTGAGCCCAGGGGCTCTCGTACAGTCTGCGACTCCTGGTGATGGAGCCAGCTTTCCCTGGAAGGATCTAGAAGGAATCAACTCGTGGCTCTTTATTCCAGGAGTCCTGCTCAGAGGAACAGGCCAGGCAGCTCCAGGCAGGGGCAGGAGCCCATCTGCTAAAGAGGCTCCCCCGCCTGTTTAAGTGGTTGCCTGTTTGGACAGAGTGTTTAATCCGCGGTCACAGAACACAGTTCTCCCTTCTCCCATCCGTGTTTCAGCGAGCGAGACACGGTGTATTTAAAGTTTAATAAGTTTAAATATGCATGAGATGGCTTGTCTCGCAGACATTGGTCTGGTTGTATCTTATCGGGTAGATTCTACGCGCTGTACAAGGCTGGTTATTAAAATGAAATTGTAAGCCATTAAGGCACGGTAGCCATCAAATGCCAGAGTGGGGACCTGTTATAAAATGGGATTAGGAGATGGCACGCACCAAGACAGGGGAACTGTGAGGAGCACAAACCTTGGAGCCAGTCGGGACTTGAATTCGAATCCTTACTTCTGCTATACAACTGTTCAACTTCGGACAAACACCTGTACCTCTCTGAGCCTCCTTTTTCCCTTTGCGTATATGAAGGGTACCAAACCTCCAAGCTTGTTAGGAGGATTAAATGAAGTGGTACTTAGCACAGGGCCCAACTTCTAAGACACCCTTGGTGTAATTATCACCTATTAATTATGCAATAAAGTGAATTTGCTCTCCCTGGGCCTCAATTACCTCAAATCCTCCCACCTGTGCCTCAAAACCTTAAATTCCAGGAAGGCTATGGGAAGTACCCCACATTTAAAAAGCTGTGTTTCTATAAATAGGATTCCAAGCACAACAGTATCCAAAAAAATACAAGCATTCATTTGGGAAGACTTTTTTTTTTTTTTTTAAACCAAGCATTTGATCTCGCGCCTCATGAAAGCAAAAGGGATTATTTTCGGTGCCCCCTCAGGATGTAAGACCAGAGAATAAGTTCTTTTTTAGACAAAAGTTTTTAAGTCTGACAAAGTACGCAGGGAAAAAAGAAAATCAAGCCTGTTCCGGAAGGTTCTTGTCTTCCAGCATTATTTCCCAACGCGTTCAATGACCTCATTTTTTTCAGCCTCAGATTCTGCTGAAATGGTGGGGGGGGGAAAGATGAGTGGAATCTGTTCTATCATTGTCGTTTACAAAGGCCAGAACCAGAGATTAAGGAGTACAAACACGGGGCTAATTTCTACATATTCTAATCCACTGGGAGACCAGGATGAGCCGGTAAGATGGGGCAAATTAACGTGTTTGCTTGTAGGTTTTCTTTCTTCAGCTCCAGCATTGAATAGTCAATGAAAGAGGAAATAGGGGGAATCTACATTTAGGTCCTTTTCGTTAACTCTGTGACCCAGGATTAATCTCGAATTCCAGGAGGACAGTCAGCTCCTCACTCGTGTGCCAGTCTCGCCTCCCCTAGCCCCTTCTGTCACCGTAACACCCTCAATGGCTAATGTTTCTCAACTGAAAAAGATGAAAGTTGCCCTCTCCACGGCCTCCTGCTTTCCTACTCACCATATGCCCTCTACCACAGGATCTTTGCACATGCTGTTTCCTCCACATAGAAGGCCTTTCCCTCCTCCATCTGCCTAGTTGATTCCCATTCAACCTTCAGATTGAAGCTCAGTCTTTACTCTTATTCCCATAATGGTTGCCATGAACACTCGCTCCAAAACGTATTAACTCAAGACAACAAACTCTTCTTTCACTAGTCTGCAGTTGGAGGGGCAGGACTGTCTCTGTTTCAAACCGCAAGGCAGGAGCTAGGGAAGCTCAAAGGATCCATTTCCAAGACTGCTCACTCTCATGGGTGGCTGGCAGCCGGGAGCTGAGAGCCGAGTCCCTCTCCCTCTGGGCCTCTTCGCAGGCTGCCAGCTTCCTCACAGTATGGTGGCTGGACACTAGGCAGGACCATCCCAGGACATGCAGAGGAGAGCCGGCCAGCGCCTGGGGCCTGGCATGACGTCACTTCTGACACGTGCTATTGGGTCAACCAGTCTGAGGGTACCGATCTAAGGGGGAAGTAGATGTCAACCCATCTGTCACTTGCAAGACTATCGAGGAATTTGGGAACGTGTCCTGAAATCACCACGACTTTCTCAGCTTCAAGGAAGAATTCCCAGCTTCCTCCTCGGTCAAATTCCCTATTTTCAGCTGTCAAAGCACACGGATCCCAAGGGTGGGTTTGGCAGTGCCTGTTTACCCCCACTGGAGTCAGTCTCATTCATTGCTACATCCGCTGTCCCCAGCACAAAGAAGGTGGTCACTAACGATTGGGTACAAGTGAGCGGATCCAGGAACCATCAACTGTTTCATAGAAAAGGTCCTTAGACGGTGGCTCAGAAACCACAGGGCCTTCCAGGAACAGGGTGGGGAGTTTTCGGCACTGTGTCCCCAAACTTCTCCTATGACCTTGACCCTATTCCTGGGGCTGGTATTGTTGCCTGGTACGTAATAGTTCCTGGTAATATAAGAGAAGGAGGCGTCGAAAGCTGCTACTCACGGTTCTCTTTCTGCTTTTCCTCCAGCATCTACGAGGACGAGAAGAAGTCGGGGACCAACATCATCTTCCGCCCATTCACCCCCATGCGCAGCTGCCTCTTCCTGCCCTCGATGCCCGAGGCTCACGTGTAAGCAGCCTCACCCGGCTCCCCGGCCTCGCCATCGGAAATGACCCGGGGCACGGGGGTGTGCAGGGAACTCTTGAGCTACACATTCCCTTGTCCTCTTGAAAGGGACACCGAGCTTGCCGCTGGCAAACCTATCTGGCATGAAAAATACCAGAAAGCAAGCCGGGCGAGGTGGCCCACGCCTGTCATCCCAGCCGCCCTCGGGAGGCTGAGGCAGGAGGATCGCAAGTTCAGACCAGCCTCAGCAATTTAGTGAGGCCCTAAGCAACTCAGGGAGACCCTGTCTCTAAATAAAATCCAAAATAGGGCTGGGGATGTGACTCAGGGGTTGAGTGCCCCTGAGGCTGGCTAGCCCTGCAAAAGGGTACTCTTGCTTTCTAACACCAGGACATCCCTGTCCCCTGTGTGTCCCCCAGAGAGTCGCAAGTCCAAACTCTCCTTTTGCACTGGCTGCTCATTTCAACAGGCAGCGCTTTGACACGGAGGTAGCAGCCTCTGGCTTGAGGGAAGGGTCCCTCCACCTTAGCACTGTCCACACCTGGGGACCCAGAATTCTTGGTCGTGAAAGTCTGGCAGGTCACTGTAGGATGGCTAGTCACCTCCGTGGCCTCTACCCACTAGATGCCAGGAATTCTACTTCCCCAGCCTGTGACGACCAGAAACGTCTCTGGACAGCCAAAAGTCCCCGTAGGTGGGAAATGACCCGCTCCCCTCCATCCCACGTTGAGAACAACTACCGGAAGCTACTGAGTCGGTTTAAGAACTTTAGTGCGACAGACTTATGTATTAGACCTCCATGACCCTTCCGGCATTATTGGCCACTACTGACCACTCTCTAGGCATTCATTACCTCATTCAAAACTCTTAGCATCCCATTGGATAGGTGTCTTATTATCCCCACCCGGAAGAGGAGAAAGCAGAAGCTCAGAGAGGTCTATTCACCTACCCAGGCTCACACAGCTCAGGGTCTCCCTGTAGTGAGGCTCGGAGCCAGCCGGTCTGGCCTGAGAGCCCGGGTTCTTGTCACCACGTGCTACACAGAAAGAGTGTCCCTAGATCTGGCCTTGGAGGTGCTCATGGTATATTTGGAGAGCCAAGTCCTCTGCCCTTGTAGAGTCAAATAATGCGAGAGTGAGATCATAGGACAGATGGCAGACGGGTAAATCGTTAGCAAGAGCACTTACTTACCTCGTGGGTGGACGTGCAAAGGTCACCCACACCATGGTCACCCTGGTCTCCACCATCAGTGTCTATTGGCCACCTCCTCATCCCTCCCTAACAGTCGGGCCTGTGATGAGCCCCACCCCCATCCCACTTTCCTCCTGCGTCCCTCGGATTGATTTTATCTTTGATTTCATTTTCTGTTCTTCTTTGGTGCTAGGGATTGGACCCCGGGTGATTTACCAATGAGCCACATCCCCAGCCCTTTTCAGCTTTGATTTTGAGACAGGGTCTTGCTGAGTCCCTTAGGGTCTCCATAAGTTGCTGAGGCTAGTCTCAAACTTGCAATCCTCCTGCCTCAGCCTCCCGAGTCACTAGGATTACCAGCATGCGCCACCATACCCCGCTTGACTGGCTTCTCTTTAGACCCAGTCATTCAGGGTCATCCAACTGGCAGTCGAAGCCTGATGCTCTTAAAACATCTCCTTCCAGCAAGAGGCCTTGTAATCTCTCCTAATGTCCCTTGGAAACACTTGGGCTGTCCCTGCGTCTCTTATGGACAAGCCCTCTGAAGCCAGTGAGATGTCCCTTGCATCTGGGGATATTGAGGGATATCTGGGAAAGTACCCAATCCCGCCCAAACACCACCATATACTCTATTCATTTGGTCTGACCACACCGAAGCTTAAATCAGCCATGAAATGACTAGTGGTAGCTTCTTGCCCTTCTTCCTTCAATGCCCATTGGGGAAAGTGAATCAGAGAGGGCCCAGACCTTGCCAAAGGTTGCACAGCAGGAATCTTGATCCTGTAGCTCCTGAGTCAGCTCTTTACACCAGGTGTATCAGATATGTTATCATTAACGGCATCCCAGTGGAAGTTGTTACTGTTATGCTCTTCAAGGGCCAGATGATAAATAATCTTATGCTTTGTAGACCAGAGGGGGCTGTGGGTTCTAGGATCCTTCCTTTTCTTCTCTAAAATAACGAGGCTGCCCCTTCGCCACAGCCTTCTGTGGTCAATGGTGCAGCAAAAGCCAAGACCAGAACTCACACCCCAATGTGCCCTCGGCCACCAGCACGGGATGCTCCGGAGGGCTTTGGACTCACAAGCCACCAATCAGCACTGTGGTGAAGAGCACCAAATTGGGAGCCAGAGGCCTGGACTCCAGTTCCAGCTCTGCCATGTGCCGGCTTTTGTGATCTTGGACAAGTTGCCTGAGTCTCTGGGCCTCTGTTTCCCCATCTGCAAAATGGGGATGACCATGAGGCCTCCCCCACGGGGATTCATGAGGATGAAATTGGTTACTGTGTGTCGAGCACAGAAAACAGGGTTGGACACAAAGGAATGCTCTCTGCCAAGTATTCACCGCTGTTCTGATTGGGCTCTTGTGACGATGTCCTATCTCAACGGTTCTTGGCGACCCCAAGTTATCAGCTTCAGGGAAATGTCAGATCTGAACCAATCCATCCCCACCATCCTCCATTCAGTAACCAGAAATACACTGAGCCCACTCTGCCCAGCACCGGGAACCCCGGGCTGGGCAGGACTCTGTGGTTTTCAGGTCCGTGGAGGGTCAAAAACACAAGTAGTTATAATAGAGCGAGGACCCAAAGGGTAGGGACAGAGGGACACATTGAAGACATGGGGATGCTTTAGAAAGTCCTTGGAGAGAGCCTAACCCAGGCCCGGAGCAATCAAGGAGGGCTTCCTGGTGGAGGTGATTATGAGCTGAAGCCCCGTCACTGAAAGGCAGAGAAGATAAACATGCACCAGGAGCAGAGAACAGGGTCCAGGAGGGATGCAATCTCAGGAAAGAGCAGTTACAGGGCTTGGTACTGGAGGCCTCTGCTCTATTAGTGGGAGGGGAAGTCAGTCGTGGAAGGTGAGGACAGCTGAGTCCAAGAAAAACACAGGCAGCCTGTTAACCCTTCCCGACCGCCTCCTCGGCTTCACCGGAGGAGAGCGAGGCCTCCGTGAGAGGCAGGGCTCAGGCCCGGGGGAGCACAGTATCCGGGAGGAATCAGACCAATCCTCTCTACTCCCAGCTGTGTGACCTCAGGTAACTCACTTCACCTCTCTGAGCCTCAGTTTCCCCTTCTCCAAAACAATAATGGATCATAACTCATACCTCCGCAGATTTGGGGCAAAAATAAATAACGTGGGAAAAAGTAGCTGGCTCATTGTAGATGTTTTATATGACATGCCCCTCCCTATCAGAAAAGGTAGATGGGACCTATTTTTAAATAGTGTTTTAGTTACATTTTCAAATATCACGCTCAGTGTGCTTTTCTTCAATATCAAGCTGCATCTTCAGACAAAGGACGTCCACATTTAAGGACTTCCCTGGGTCCCCCTGTTGATTAAGAAGAAAAAAGTAGTGACCACACTAGTTCCTTGTTTTCCAGGCTACCTGTCACCCAACTCACTTATTGTCCTTTGATTGGAAAAACAGCCAGGTGCCTGGTCATTAATTCCCTCAGTTTGCCAGAGTTGAGACTCCATCTGGGGAACCCCCCTTGTCTTCCCGCACCACACACTAACCCCCACTGCTGGCCCAGGATCACCTTGCTTCAAATCATGGCTCTGCCCCCTGCTGGCCCGGTAATGGGCACACCTTCCTAACCTCTCTGAGTCACAGACTCCCCGTCTCCAGAATGGGGCCGATGACAGGATGTGTGCCCAATCCACATGCACCATGCCTGTAATCCCAGAGGTTCAGGAGGCTGAGGCAGGAGGCTGGCAAGTTGGAGACCGGCCTCGGCATCTGAGCAAGGCCCTAAGCAACTTAGAGAGACCCTGTCTCCAAATGGAAAATAAAATGGTCTGGGGAGGTGGCTTAGTGGTAAAGCGCCCCTCTGGATTCAATCACCAGTACCAATCTTTCCCGTGAAGATTGTCGTAACGGGATCTCACTGTGTCCCCTCCCTGTGTCTTTGCAGCGAGCCCCTGTTCCGCCAGCTCTGCGCCCTGCACTGGCTTTTGGAGTCCCTGACCATCGACCACACCCACCACACCATGAAGTCGGTGACCACCTGCTGGAATTTCAAGTAGGCATCTGCGCCTCCGCCCTGCCCCGCGCTAGCTCCAGCCTGGGCAGCGGGAAGGGCTGCCCTCCGCTCCTCCCTCCCGTTCATCCTTCCGGGTGACCAGGTGACCAGGTTGCTTTAGGGGCTCCATATATTCTGAGGGATCCAAACAGGGCAGGGCAGAAGCAGCTCACACAGACCCGATCGGGTGCAGACCCTTGCAGCCTAGCGACATCACATGGGTGGCTTGAAATCAGCCGGTCACAGTGGGAGAATTTACACCACAGAAATTGGCAGATCCTCAGCCGGACTGCTCTCCAGCCCTCCGGGGGGACGGTGTCTCCTCCTTACCATTTTTAGTTTTTCTCTCTTTCTTCTTCTCCCTCCTTCTCCGGGTCCCTTTTCTTCTTCCCTTGTCTCCCTGTTCTTGATTTGCTCCTTCATCTCAAGGAGTTGCTTGGTTTGGCTGTGCTGTCTTTTCAATGTGTTCTGGGCGCTGTTTCACCACTTGGGCCCAAGGACGTCTGGACTTGAGATGCAGCTCCCTGGGGCAGCTGGGGTTTGCCCAGGCAGAAGCTTCCAGAACACTTTGTCCAGGCCAAGAAAAGGGTCAGGAGCATCACCTCCAGGGGACAGAGCTCAGGCCCAAGCTTTGAGGCCACGGTAGCAAGAACCGCACGGGGCATGCAAGGTGGAACAAGAAATAGGAACAAAGAGGCTTATTCTTTAAGAAATCAAATTGTCTGTAAAAAAAAAAAAAATGGGACACAAAATAATAATAAGGAACCCAGTCTTGAGGAACAGGATTTGCACTGTGAAAACCACAGGCTGAGTTTAATAAACCCCATCCCCAGTGCTAAGGGTCCTCTCCTCCACCTTCATGGGCCTGGGTGCCTCTAGAAGCCCTACCTCCTGGGAAAGTTCAGTTTTCTTCTCTTCCAAATATTGGTCCTCATTAACTCCTTCCTCCAAGGACATGGACCACCCGTCCTTCCTAGTCCCCCAGTTCACCTCTTGCACCAGGACCCAGATAAACTAGCCTCAGATGCAATCACAAATATGAATTCTGCATCTACCAACATGTTAGTAACTAATTTATTCAGTGTTCTTGGCTGGGACAAAGTTACAATTGTAATATTTTTTTTTGATACAGTGGCTTACAAACTATTTTTTTAAGCAGTAATAGTTTACTTTTTTCTTTTTCACGTCAAAATCCCTGTAATGTAAACCAGATTGTTCTGAATGGACCTTCTTCAGGAAGGAAGAGATTTAAGGGCTGAGAGACCTGGAGCCCCACTCCCACCCTGGTCCCTCAGTTATTTACAAAATATCTTTTATGATTCCCAGAATTTGTTTGAAACCCACAGCCTTCAAACATTCATCATGCATTATTCATTTTTCTTTAAAACCAAACTGTCCAAGTTATGAGTGAATGCAATTTACTCATAGAAATTTTTCAAAAAAAATTTATAAGCATATAAAGTATAAAAGCTTTTATTCCCTCCTTAGAGAAAAACTCCTTTTAAAGGTTTAAGGTGTGCCATTCCAAATCTCTTTAATACCTTCTTCATTTTTTTTTTGGTACAGGGGACTGAACCCAGAGACACTCTACCACTGAGCTACATCCCCAGCCCTTTTTACTTTGTATTTTGAGACAGGGTCTCGCCATGTGGCTGAGGCTGGCCTTAACTTGCAAACCTCCTCCTGCCTCAGCCTCCCTAGTCACTGGGATTATTACAGGCTTGCACCACAGTGCCTGGCTCACAGATATTTTTGATGGAAAATGGTTTAAAATATTGTTCTCTACCTCATTCCCCGCCCTCGCCTTTTACAGGGACTCATGATGGCACCTACCCATCTTCCTCATTCTGTTCATATTGAAAGGCACACACACTGGGGCATTCTGTTGTGTGGATGGAACATAATTCAGATAAGCATATCTTTATTGACAGACATGGAGGCTATTCTCAAATTTTTGACATTCCAAGTGGCTCTTCACGGAACAATCTTACACATGTCTTTCGTGCCCAGTTGTGAATATTTCATTTGATTGGATTCTGAGAAATGGGAATCGCTAGGTCAAAGCAACATGTACATTTTTTTTCCACCATTGATTGCTTAGATTCTAAGAAAAAAGCCCCTGAGCCTGGGGACTACTAATTGCATTTCATCGGCCACCAACAGCAACCTTGTCTCTGACATGTACACACCCACCCTCCCTCACAGAGGGAAGAGCATCATGTAGGATGTGGACGGAGGAGAGAGAGAAAGGGCCATCTTTATTTTCTTTCATTGCTTTTTTTAAAAAAATGTGCTCAGAACATAACCAAAAAAAAAAAAAATTGTTGATGGCAGTAAAAAGACATATTGGTCTCATTGAGTATGAATGATTGATAAGGGCAGGGATCTAAGGTTGCCCAGCTCTCTAAAAGAATCAGAAAAATTCAGACAGACCCAAGAGAATAGTGAAGTTCAAGAAGATTGCCTTTGGCAGGGAGAGTATCTTGGTGGGGTCTGGTTTTTCTCTAGTAGACCATTTCCTCCTGGTAGGGACTTTTAACGCGGGCCCCGGGATATGATGGTAAATGTTTAACAGGCAGTTTTTCAGGGCCTGGAGAGACGTGGTTTGTAGTAAGGCCAATGTCCCTGGTGTGAATACCCGGCCGAGGCTGATTTCAAGATGGCCAGCGTGATGTCACTGGGCTTGGAGCTGGGAAGAGTTGTCCCTGGGTTCTCACCCGTCCATGTGAGCCAACTCCAGGACCCCAGGGTCTGTTTAAATGACAGCTCTGGGGGACAAGAATTCCTGGTTATGGATGCCTTTGGGACTTCAGGCTAGAAAAGAAACTTCTGAGCAGAATTTTAGCAGCACATGAGATCCGTGGTCACTGGGTCACTGGGCAAACACACAAGGTCCACCAAAAATATCTAACTCCAAAGAGAAACACCTCAGGGAACGACCCCAAGAAGAAGCCCCAGGTCCCCAGTTCTGGTGAATGCTCATCCGAATTTCCATCAGCCGAGAGCCAGCCTCTCCTGGTGTTAATTCTGAGACCCAGACCCTGACCCTGCCAGCCCCCGAGGATTTTCTGAAAGGAAATATCCATCCCCGGTGACCTATGGCTCCCAGAGGCATCATGACATCTGCATACCAAGTCCCTCTCTTTATGGATTTATAGCAGGAATGTGGGGGCGGTTCAATTCCTCCGCGTGGGTTGGGCACACACAGCGAGATTTGACCAAGGGGCAGCTAGAATGCTTCGAGAGGGACCATCAGCATTCACAGGACGAGGATCTCATGTCTGGATGGATTGATGGCTGGTCAAGTGAACGGGCAGACAACAAATTTTAGGATTAGCTGCATCTGAGTCTCTGTTTTACTTGGGGGGGGGAACTTCTCAATTCTCAGTTTCCTCCTATAGCAATTCAGACATAGCACCACATCCCAGCACCCTTATTAATCCTACTGCTCTTAAGAGAGTTTATTTCTATTGGTCAGACGATAGGGTTCAGACCAAGAAGAGAAACTAGCCTTCAATACTATGGCAATTATCCTTCTGCAAGTGTACAAACCTCTTTTTAGACAAAGTCACACCTGATTTTTTTGTGTGAAGGTCCATAAGTCTTTCCACCCTTGGAGCCAACTGTGTTTCAGAATTCCGACTTTTTTTTTCTAGTTTAAAAAGGAAGTATGAGGTATCTACCATATAGAACGTCACACTCCCAAGGAGGCCCGGTGCGGCACAGATGTGAGTCTGCAGGAAACAAAAAGTGAATATTTATCCTAAGTTCCTAAATAAAGGGCAACTCCTTTCAGGTCACATTTTGCTGCCAAATAAGTTATTAAAATCTTGTTATTCAATCCTTTGGGGGGTGGTTTGAAATAGAGGTTTTAGACCTGAATTGACGGTATTCTTATTAGAGAATATCTTGGCTGGGCTCAGTAGTGCACACCTGTCATCCCAGCGGCTCAGGAGGCTGAGGCAGGAGGATCGTGAGCTCAAAGCCAGCCTCAGCAACTCAGCAAGGCTCTAAGCAACTCAGGGAGACCCTGTCTCCAAGTAAAACACCAAAAGGGCTGGGGATGTGGCTCTGTGGTTAAGCACCCCTGGGTTCAATCCCTGGTACCAAAAAAAAAAAAAAAAAAAGACTATCTTTCCAAGGACTAAGCCTGAGTAGAACTTTCTGGAGGAGCAGGTGAGCAAACATGGCAGTCCCTCTCCAGCCACATCCCTTCTGCCATCTTCTCTAGTCACCTTGGGGAAAAGCAGGGGAGACCTTGCAAAAGAAGGGAGAGAATCAAGAGTCACCAGTTTACCCTCCAGGTGGGGGACATCACACAGAGCTGTCCCCACAGACCTGTGCTGTCCCCTGGAGCCAAGTAAGCAGCTCAGACGTCTAGGTCCCATTGCCTCCGACTGCCCCAGACAGACCCCTCTGCCCTCTGCACCCACTCTTCACTGGGGGCTTGGGGGACAGGTGAGTGGAATCCTGGTTACTGTAGCTTCCTCTGGATTTTTAAATATGATAATGTGTGTGTTTAATTGCTCTGCAGTCTCCAAAACATTTCCATGCACTCTTAGTTCAAAGCTCTTCACACTGTGCGGCTGGGGACCCCAGTTAGCATAAAGATTCTGATCCCGCAGGTTGGGGCCTGAGAACCTGCATTCTAGCAAACTCTCAGCAATCCTAACTTTTATGGAAGGAGTCTAGGCACAAAGAACACCTCCTTTCCTTATAAAAATATAGATGGCTCAAAAGGAACCCACACTTTGGTGGCTCAACACGAACCCCTAAATCCAACCACTATTTCATAACGGAAATAGCCAGAGCTCGGAATTGGGCACTGCTCTGACTCTATGACCTCATCTGAGCCCCATTCCACCTGGTCAGTGCAGACACGGAGGCCCAGAGGATCGGAGTCATCTTCTGCAAGCGGCAGAGCTAGCCAAAGAGAAGTCAGGATCTGAACCCAGCTAGAGAACTTGGGTGCTCAACCGCTCGACGATCATTTCCAGTGTCTGTGGCCGAAGCCCAAAGTCTCCAATTAATTTAGAGAATCATCTGGTGCCCTCCCTCAAGAAAAAAAAAACAAACAGGTTATCTCACTACAAAGTGGCACATTAAAAAGGGACCCACTTATCAAGGTGATATAGGTATCATTTTCTTTCATAAAAGAGTCGAAAGTATTATTCTGCACATACGGCTTTGCCACTCCAGGCTTCCTGTTTAACTTGACACAGGAGGAGCATCCCTTCGCGGCTGCACCTCTGGAGCTTATGGGTTTAAGAATATACAGAAATATGTTCACCAATTCTCCAAGGGAAAAAAAAAGTTTTTCCAAAATTTTCCCTTTCATGCAACAGGGCAGTCTCCTTGACCAGCACACCCAATGGCACTTCTTAATGAAATGGCTTATATTTAAAGGGGCCTGCCCTTTGTCCTGTAGCCCCACCCCCACCCCCACCCAAGAGTATGTCACTGACCTGCAGCTCGGCCTTTTGCTGGTGGCACACTGCTGGGAAGGCTGCAGCGCAGATAACAGCCCACGTCCTGCTCTCAGGAGCTTCCCTCTGGAGAAGAGAGGGGACAACAGATAATCAACATGTCACAGTCAAGATAATTTGAGATAGCTCTAAGTGTCGTGAGGAAATAAATGGGTGATGGGATATAGTGGCAGGGCCTGGGGCTGTGCTTTGAAGTTGGAAAGACTGGCTCAGGAAGTGACAGGTTAGGGAGTTCTTGATTTCCCCTGCTCCCGCTTTGTGTGGCTGCAATCCCGTCCGCTCTGGTTCCCCAGCCGACATCCGGGAGCGGGAGCAGGTGGCAGGATGATCAGATGGTCTCATCCCTCCTGAGGCAGGGCGGGGCGGCCTGGCCTTGGGGATCCCCAGAGATCCGCCTCTGCCCACCCCCAGGTACAGAATCAGCCGTTCCTGCCCTCAGCCCCGGACAGGTGGACACGGCCTGGTCAACCGACTTTCCACCCTGAGGCACAGGTTTTCAGCCCAGTGTGAGTCAGAAAGTGAGAGTGGAGTGGTGGAGACAATTGCTGGTTGCCACTGTAAACGGACATCTTCAAACGACAGCCAGGGACAAGACGTGCTCTCTCGGTGGACACCATTAAAAGAGAGGAGACCGTTCTCAATGCCCTCTTCCCTTGATTTCTGGCCAATGGGATCCCCCAGAAAGCTTCCAAAGGGGGAAATAATGGCCTAAAAATCACAGCTACTTCTCCCCTATAGAGCTGCCCCGGGGCCTCGACCCCACCATCAGCTCCTCCTGAAAGTCACAGTAAAATCTCTGATGTAGCCAGGTACAATGGCGCACGCCTATCATCCCAGTGGCTCTCGGGAGGCTAACGCAGGAGGACGGCGAGTTCAAAGCCAGCCTCCGCAAAAAAGCCAGGCCCTAAGCAACTCCATGAGACCCTGTCGCTAAATAAAACACAAAATAGGGCTGAAGATGTGGCCCAGTGGTCAAGTGCCCCCAAGTTCAATCCCTGGTAACCCCCCCCCCATAAAAAAAAACATCTCTTCTGTGAAAAGCACACCATCACTGTGGGTAGGCGAACTGTACCAGGTTCTCTGTACAAGGCACCCACTGGCTCTTCACGAGCCCCACTTCTTTTCCTCTGCCCAGCAATCATTTGCATAGTTCATATTATCTCCCCATTTTACAGACGGGGCTCAGAGAGGCTATAGAACTTCACACAAAGTCCTGCATTCAGGAAGCAGTGGGCAGCGGGACTCTGGAACTCTCCCCACTGAGATCACCCTCTTCTGGTTCTGATGCTCAGGGGGACTGGCCCGGGTCTCACAGACGGGACATTGGGAGCATCAATGAGGGGATCTTGATTAAACTGCAATAAATGCAACCCCCAAATCTCAGCGGCTTCACACCACAGAAGCTCCTTTCTTGCTGCCCTGACGCGTCCAGCTCTCTGCTCATTACAGCCAGGCGGGGGAGGGGGCTGACAGAAGCGCCATCTCAGCACAAGCTCCTCCAGATGACTCCAGGACGGCCTGTAAAGCCCCCGCCCAAGGCTCCCCTCGCTCGCTCGCTCGCTGGCTCACGCTCATGTATTTTTGAACAAAGCAAGTCACCCCTGACTTGAGGGAGCAGGGAAGTGGGTGGACTGCACTAATGATCTCGCCATCGGGGCACTGGGGAGGACCTGCTGCTGGCCCTGCCCTTCCCCACGAGGTGTGCGGTGGACATCGCTGCCCCCCGTGGCTTTGTCCTGTCCTCCCACCTATCGATCTCCCCGTTTGGTTTATTTGCTACTGAAAATGAAACATCAGAGAGACCGATTCTGTCCAACCAGGGCTTTTCGGTGTCGGTGGCTTTGCCGTGCCAGGGCTGGGGGGGGGGGTGCGTTTGAAGGTCTGCGGGAGACTCGCTGCATTTTTTTAGCTCATTTAGCGTGGCCCCTTGAAGTGGCAATAGATTTCTGGTCGTCTTGGAAGTCAGCATTGGTGGAAAACTTCCCTCTTCCCGATTGGGCCTGAATATTTCAGATTTTTTGAAAGCCTGGCTGGGGCCAGATTTAATTTTGAAAGGGGAAGGGGGTTGCTTTTGAACTTGAAGAAAAAAAAGCTGGCAACTCAACAGGGGCCGCCGTAGCAGAGAGAAAAGCAGAAGGCCCTGTGGTCTTGAAAGAAGATCTCCGGCGCAGAAGCCAGGGGCTCCCCGTTGGTGCACCTCAAATCAGACTTCAAAAGCGCCCGGAGCTCCAATATTGTTTCTAGGGCTGAAGGACCGCCTGTTCTTCCTCTGGCTGGATTTTAAATATTCCCTAATTTGATTACTCTGGGCGGGGGGGAGAGGCTGGCAGAACCAACTTAAATGAGCTTCTCTGTTAATTATTCAGGGGGCTTTGTATTGTGTCATCAAACCCAACGTCTTACAAAAAGCTTCGAGACCCAAACTCACCCCCGTCCTCCCCAGCCTGACTTCTTCTGCCGGGGCCTGTGTGCATTTCGTGTCCCGTGGTTGTGAGCTGGTATCTGTCCAACAGGTCCGTGCTGGTGAGGACAGGACGGTCCCCTTAAGAGTCCTCAATGGTGCTACTCAGGTCCCCCATGCCTGGGGAAGCCAGTCTTAAGTTGGGTTTAACTTGATCATCTTTTGCCTCTGGAGATCTGAGCACTGGGACCCGCCACCACCCCGCCCTATAAGCCCAGACCCTGGTGAGCATGCGTATCTGCTCATCTCCTCACGTCCCCCAGGCCCTGCTCCGTGTTAGAAGAAACCGGACAAAGGGAAAAAGGATCCCAGGCCTCTAAAATGCTTTCTGCAAAGAAAAAGGGTTGAGAGAGAGAGAGAGAGAGAGAAAGGTGGGGGTGGGAGGATGGCTGATGGATGGGCCAATCAACCAATCTACAGACACACAAGAGATCAGACCCTACGACCCCCCCCCCCCCCCCCCGCTTGCCTATCAATAGAGACCCCCTGCCCCATCACCACAAGCCCAAAGTCTAACGAGACTCCGAACCAGCGTTTCCCTAACTCATTTGGCAGCAAAATCTGACCTGAACCAAATCGATGAGGTGCCACAACTTGACGCTATTTAAAGTCTTTATTTAACTGATATAAATATTCATGTATTTTGTTAAAGAAATATGAACGCGTTTGATTATAAAGCGTTGCCGAGACCCCATTAGAGGGATCATGGTCACACACAACAGAGGCAGCATATTTTCTTCCCAAAATGCCCGAATTATAAGAATTTAGCAGCAAAACAGCTCTTCAGGTCTCAGGTAAGGGTTTACGGGCACGTTACCAACGGAGCCTGCTGGGGCTTCAGTCTCCTCTCCAGGGAGTGATTAGCCAGGCTCTGTGCCCCTTAATCCAGGCCACTTGGGAAGCTGAGATGGGAGGATCACAAGTTCAAGGCCAGCCTCCTTGGTAAAGTGACACTGGGTTAAATCCCTAGTACCATCACCATCACCACCACCAACAACAACACAACACCAATAATAATACAAAATTGCAATGTAATCTTAGGTACAGGGTCTTTAGAGAAGGCACCCCTAGAGGGAGGGGTCCCTGAAGCTTTGTAAATATGCATCTGGGTGAGTGCGGAAGCCCCCCCACCCCGAGTTTTGTTTTCTCATCTGCAAAATGGGACCATCATGACAGCATCACAGGATCTCAGCGACTGAGGAGATTCTGCAAGGACACAGAAACATCTTGAAAATAGCCTCCAACAGAACTTGGGCTTCAATAAGTCTTAACCAGTGATTGTCACTGTGCAAACCCCTCCCCCGGCTACCCCAACCTCATCGGCTGATATTCTCTGTGTTGCTCCAAAGTGCCCCTGATGCAGGGACCCTGAAGTCCTAGAACATGCAAAACATTCACAAAGGAACTTCCCAATTCATCTGAGCAATCTGAGACCTTGTCCTGGAGTCCCAGAGCACACAGCTGTGAGACCCGCACAAAGACAGCCCGCCTCCTTCAGCCCGGGCCAGCGGGCAGTGGTCCCACCTGGCCTCGAGGTTGCAAAGACTCAGCTGCAGAGCATCAGGGCAGGTGTGGGGGTGGGGATCTTATCCGAGACCAGCCGCCATCCATCCCCTGGTTCTTAAAAAAAAAGAAAAGAAAAAAGAAAACTTGTAATAAACAAAGTCTGTGCAAACGGAGAACTCATTAAGCTGTTTCTCACTCAGGGACCCCGGGGGAAGCAAGAGCTCGATAAAAAAAATCAACAAGGACAGGTCCATGGCTCAGAGGTGGGAGCACTTCGTGGCCACACCAAAGGTAACCAGCTGCGGCCGCCCTGCCCGGTGGCTACCAGCCCCCGCCTGGGCAGGGACGGATTTTGCCGGTCTTTCCTCTAATGCAAACTTTTTTTTTTTTTTCTTGTTGGCTTTTGAAGTGAAGGGAAGTCAGAGACCACAGGCTGTTGGATGGTTCTTATAAATTTTAATTAAAATGGTTATCTGGGGATTATAGGAAAAATGACATTGGGCTGGACGCTGCTTGAGAGGGGGTGCTGAGCGGCTGTTCAATAAGATGTCACCAGAAGGAAATGGACTCATCTCACTCCACCTCCTAAATCAATAACCCTCCTCCCTCTCTCTCCCTCTCTCTCCCTCTCTCTCTCTCTCTCTCTCTCTCTCTCTCTCTCTCTCTCTCTCTC